ATAAACAAAAATTGTTTATAAAGTGATTAAGTCAACAAAAGCACCAGTAAGATATATGTATTTTTTTTAAAGTATATGTCTCTTTACCGAAAATACTGTAATGAAAATAATTTCAAACAAATACCTTTTTTGACTCAGTTCATGTATATATATTTTTTATTTTTTTAATTCATCAATTAATATATTAATTAATATTACCAATTAAAAAAATACATACTATTACATCCTTTTATTAAAGATAAACAATAAAGACAGCCATTATTATCTGTCTTTTAGTTTGTAATAAACAAAAATACAAAGAACTAAAGAACTAAATGGTTTGATCAAGTAGTATTGCCACATAGTGAGAAGTCCATGGATGCAAAGACGTGTTATTTTCTGTATACATGAGTACTGTTTTCATCTATTAATGCTTAGTGTAGATAAACTTCATAGCAAATAGTTTCTAATATCACATTAATTATAGATGCGATAATGTAAAGTTCAATTAATCTAGCAAGCGGCATAGGACAGTAGCACAATAGAACAATACCACAGACTTCATATAGAGAAACGTACAACAGTATAGTTTTTTTTAATCACATAGGCAGCAGAAAGTAAGATTGAATTTGAACTGTGTTGCTTCATACATTTTAAACATTCTTTCAATAGCATCAATAGAGCAATTGAAAAAGCTCTACAAGTTTTGATCACCATCGATAGTACAATAACTGAAACAGTTCTATTGATACGTTCCTAGGAATAAAATCAGAATAAAAAAAATTTTAAATCAAAGTATTGCAATATAAAATATATGATCTGAATCTCTTGAAATCAACTCAGTTGTTATCAACAATAATATTTGATCACGTTTTAAATTTCACGCTATCAAATATAGATATCAAGAAAAAAAATAACAATTCCTGAACCTATATGGCTATATGTTTTCTCTATTTTCTTGCCCTATATCCTTATTCTTAATAATTCCACTTTACTTTATGATCTTTTTTATCCATATCTTTATACATAATTATACATAATTAATAGATCTCCATAATTTAATAGATCTTCCCGCCCACCTAAGTTTCCGAAGTCATTGAAACATATGGTTAGCATTGGTACAACAATAAACACACATACGAAATTTTAAAACAGTTGCAAAATATTCATTTTACGTATATCTTAAGTTAAAAACTTATGTTCTGAACATTAAACGTGTTTTTTTGAAATTCAATTCAGTTGTCTATATGTTTTAGAAACTACTAACAATTTATCCTAAATGACTTTTAATCACAACTGCTTATTCACACAAAATAATATACAGCACTTTTCACGCTATATATATTTAAGGTGTATTAGATTTAAACTGTAACTTATATCATAATAAATATAATAATAAAAGTAGTGTATTCTAATGAATGTCCTTTATTTATAATCAAAAAATTAAAATATTACTGACTTACTTAGTTGGACTTTACAGACGTGAGTCGTCCTTGCTCAGATCGATTAGCCTCCGCCAGTCAGCCCGATTAGTTGCTTGCTATCGCCAGTTGGTAGTACCGAGCAATCGCAAATTGTTGGTCACCTGCTCATATATATATATACCTGATTTATATATGCATATAAAATAAACTGTTGAATTTTTCAACGCATTTTGACATATTCTTTGGAAAAAAAATATTTTCTTTATTACAATAACGAAAAAAAATTTTCTCTTTCTATGATGATTATATGCAACTCACAAATAAGCTATAGTAGTTGATTAGCAACTCTTACTGTAGTCCAATTATATTGAATACATTAGCCAGTGGCTGTTGCTTAATCGTTGGCAGTGCTTTGAGAATGCATTTGCTCAACTACATTTGAAATTTGTAACTACTCTAATATAATCAGTCACTGCTATTTAGTCGTGCATTGGGTAGTAAACTGCCATATTACTATTATTGCAATCGGCAATAAATAACTTTAACACTAAAATATATTAATAGCGGCTTAAGAGCTAGAGTGTTTTTAATTTAAAAAAATCAGCACAATTTGAAATTGCTTCAGATAAATTAATAATTAGTTCTTTCCTAATTGATGATTAATAACAATATTAAAAAAATTATTTCTATCTAAAATTTATCATTTCCGATGTTTTTATAACACAATAATGATCATTTGGATTATTTTTAAGATAATTAAAATACATTTACCTTCACACATATTATAAGATTTCTTACATCTTAACTCAGTTTTGATGGATTTGTTATTATAAAAATTATAATCTCAAAATTCGTGATCATTTATGTCATGCAACGTCAAACTTGAAAATAATTACCAAAAATATGTTAAAATTTAATTTATGATTAACATAGAAATTTATCCGTGCCAGTTGACAATATATTTTGTGTATTATTTTTACAAAACTTCATTATATTTTATTTACTCATTAAATAAACAATACAAATAAAAATATCAACCAACGGATTAGATCATTTTAATAAGCGATGAGATTTGTCAATATTATGATTATATCTTTTAATGGAGATTTTTTTCGATTTTTTTCTAAATGCTTATATTAAACAAAGTACATTTGTATGTGCTTCAGATTACAAGTAAACAAATTATTTATTAAATAAATAAATTAATGTTAATTTGTTTGAGAATAAATAAAACACTGAATACAATGTAATGAAGATCAAAATGTTTAAAAATATTTATCAAGTTTAGTTTTGAGAATATTACATTTTTAAAATATAAGGAATATATAAAATATATCCCATAGATTAAAAGTGATAAAATTAGTGCACAGTATTTATTTTAATATTTTTAAAGAGATTTTTTCGAACAGTAGTGAACTACAACAACAAAAATTTTATTTTTTTATATTATTTTAATTCAATTAAAATTCAATTAATTTTTGGCTGACCATACAGCTGTTTTGAGTATTGCCAAATACCCATCATCAGTGGTCTTGGAAATAATTCTTATGTTTAATTATTCGTAAATAATTATTTTTTGAGACTGCAAGTACCAGGATTCAATATTTTTAAAAATTTTATTTAACAACTATATATTAAGTAATTAAATATATATTACGTTTACGCGCGAATCGTAAAAATTGTTTTAAAACCAATTTTAATTTAATTTTTTAATATTAAAAGCAGTTTAAATTTGGTTTTAGTGAGAGCAAATACCGCGTAATTAATTGAAAATCCAATTTAAGTTTTGAAAACCACTGTTTAACTGACAAGTTCTTTAAAAGCACAAGTTCATTTTGAAATCTGTATGAAAATAGATTTTATGACTGAGTTAAGAGTTGAAAATCTATAAAGTCAAGATACTAAAGATTTGTGGTTTTAGTTAAAGAACTTTAAGAACTTTTAAAAAATATTATAACACTTTTAATATTTGTTTAAATAAAACGCGTAGTCTCTTAAGTTTATTTCAATCTAAATCTTACATTCTTAAACTCCCTTAAAGTATAGTATGCACAAGCTCACATGTGCATACGTAAGCATATTATTATATACGGAGTAGCATAGGTAGATGCATTTGTAAACATACAAACAGCATAACTTCGTTGTGCAAGCAATATTGTTGCTTGGGCGATAAGCGCTAGAAATATGCTAGTTAAGCACATTCCATGTCGCTGTTTATAACAAAGTATATTTGAAATTAGTTACTTTGATGCATGTACCCTACAATATTTTACTATTGAGGTAAAAAGTCACATCTCACTAAGATCTTTAAAAAATCTAAAATTATAAACATAAAATTATTTTAATATATTATTATGTTGAGGCAAGTTGAATCAGTGCACTTGAGCACTTTTACTCTCTATTAACTGCGAGGTTTCTTCATAATCCCTCTCTACGCTTTGACTAGATTATTGTTTATCATTTCATCAGACTAAGCAATAACTGATCTCAGATCAGCATACCTCCCCGAGGAGCCTGTAACCATTCTGAGATTCGATAACGCGGTATTGATAAGCCTGTCAGTTTTCGTAAATAATTTCAGAGCTCTATCCTGTATTTTTTTGATCGAATCAATCTTTACGTCACAGAAGATGTCATTCGTCCTAATGTACCATGGTACCTTGAAAAGACTTTCAGAGCCTGGCTTTGTACAATTTCTAGCTGGCGAATAGTAGTGTTTGGTTATATATCAGCTCCTTGGTGTTAACATAGAGATTTACACATTATATATTTCATATAAATACTTAATTTTATATAACGGATTATCAAAATATTATGTACATATTTCACACAACACAATTAATATGATATTTCATGAAAATAATTTTTAATTATAAAATAATTGTTGCTATTTCATAACAATTTTATATCAACAAAAATAAATATATATAAATTAATCCTTTTGGAAGCCGACATTTCTTTTTATTTAAGTTTAAAATTGTGTTTTTACAATGAGTTGGCAACACTTTTAAATAGAAATACTTGCTCCGTCAAAACAAATTGAGAGCAAATCCAATCAGAAAAAACTGAGCTGCTGTTGTGGAATGTTGTTTCTGCAGCTGTTTTCGTTCGTAGTAAATTAAAATGTAAATTATTTGCTTAAGTTTTATAAAAATATAAAATAAACTATCATCATGTGAAACTATTCAAACCAAAAAAAAAAACGACTAAACAGCAAATATTCATCAAAAAACAATAAACAAAAACTTGGCAATTAGAAAACTAAAGCAACTAAACAAAAACTAACAGTGGTGAAAGGCAAAAAGTTAGTGAATGTCTATTTTATTCATAATATTACTGTGTAAACTTTTTGCAAAATAAATATTACTTAAAGCTATTGCAAAATAAATTAAGAACAAAAAATGAAATTTACATTTTAGGCAATATTAATTAAATTTATTTTATTCATTGCGTGCATTCTTATGACGTCACAAAGGTTGCACTGATTTATTTGTTTTTGTTTGTGAATTGCATTAAATTTGCATAAATTATATTAATTAGATTTGCAAGTGTACTTAAAATTTTAATAAATAAATATCATTATCATTAATTTTGCAGTTTCAAGAAATAGTGCCCGATATGGACGACGAGTATTTGTTTAATGAAAAGCAATCAATACGCGAATCTTCGCGTACGCTGAAGAAATCATATGGTAGTACCACATGCTGCAATCACATGAGAAACAATGAAGCGTTGATCCGGCACGAGATTGAGAAGACGGATACACTGCAGGGTATTGCACTAAAATATGGCTGTACGGTGAGTTACCAACTTAATAAATTAATTATTGTTGCTAATTAAATTTTTGTTTTTATATTTTTATAATCAATTTTATTTTCATGGACATGACTTTTACGCACTTAACGCATTTAAAGCTTAAACATGTTTTCTTTATGCTGTCATTGATTTTCTATGTTAATTGTAGATATATATTTACCAACTAATATTTATAATGTATATACTATATAATTCCTGTGGACCTAACTAGAAGTTAGAACTAAAAGTAATTGTTTGAGGATCATTTAATATTCGTGCCAAATGCAAACGAACATCGAACTATTCGAAAATATACTCGAACTATGTATTGTACTTTATTATTTGCTATTATACATATTTGTATAAAATGAAACATAACATAGACTTGTTGTACAAGTACCTCGAATATTTCCAAGCTTCAATAGTGCTTCATAGTGTTCGAACTTTAAACTGGTTAAGTTATTGCGTGTATACTTGCATTCGAACACTTCAAATATTCGTAACTGTTCTATCTGCACGAATATGTTCGGATGACTCAAATAATAATTCTGATTTGCGTTTTATTTTATTTTTCTTTTAATAATAACAAATTCAACCGACTTAGTGTCCTCGATCCAAATCCTCGAGAATTAAGATACTTGAAGTTTCAAACAGCTGAAATAATATTAGACGCACTAATGATAAATCTCGAACACTTACAATTAATATGCTAGGAAATAATAATATTATTTTTTAGTAGTAGTAAATTAGTTAATAGTAAGTCAGTTCTTTTATTTACGATTATTAACATATTTACAGCAATTTTCACATTTAACTTATTTTACATATTAATAATGTGTAACATAATAACTACAGATTATTTAAGACAATAACTATTAAGTTGTCTGTCTGTTTTTTAGTATTATAGTTTATATTTAAATCACGACTGTAAACTATTAATTTCTGAAGTGGATTCAAAAGCAATTTATCTGCAATTTCGCACTAACGGTTAAGCAGATTCATAAAATTGGAGTCAATTACACTAAAAAAAGTGGTCAAAACCCGCAAGGATCTACTTGTGTAGTCTTTATAAGTATTGCGAACGGCACTTCCCCGTCGTACTGACGAGTGGCTCTGGAACATAGAGCTGGTCGTTCTCAGAATCACATTAAAAAATCGGATGTTTTGTTTCAAAATCAGTTCGGTATCCAGCCATCTTGGATTTTTACCGATTTTAAATGAGTTAATAATTTCAAGAAAAGCTTGATATTTATATGAACCTAGACTTCAAAGTAAGCTATAAGCAAAAATCCTAAAATGTTCGAGTAATTTTGTTATCAAGACTTACTCAATAAAACTTCACAAAACTTGCTATATTCGTTATGTGAAACAAATTTTTAAAAATATATAAATAAAAATCTAGTCTTAAATTTTGGTTAATTCTTCTTAAATATTTTACATATTTAGCACCATTTCAATGTCCCAAGTTGGTAATTTCATCAAATGTATATTAAACCTTGTACGTGATGACTTTTGACCTTAACCATATAACTTCCCTAGAACTTTAAAATGTTACTCATGCCATGGTAACACAACGGGGCGTGTATTTTACTTTAAATTATCGATTCAACATTTTTACTTTGTAGACAACTCACATGCATTATGTAAATAAACCCCATTCCCTTTCTCTTAGCCTACTTTTAAATGAAAAAAAAACGCTTATAACCATTCTAATGCTTCATGAAAAATAATACTTTACACATTTGTTCATGAAGAGTCAAGTCAGCGGAATGTGAGAGTAATATAGAGAAAGCTAATTTGTATAATTATTTTTCTAAAACTTTAAGATAAACATGACATATAATATACATATACATATTTTTTTAGATAAGATTGTTTACCGAAACCTGACAAAATGACATTAACAATTTCAAGTTTTGTTGCTAAACGCAATGAATCCACTGCAGATTTTATAATAACGACTTTTTAAGTTCTTAGGTTACAAAACGATTTAAATTAATACAAAAAACAATTCTACTAGAAACGTTTTTGTTTATTTTTTTAATATAGATAAAGCTATATTAATGCTGAGACAAGTAATGTTAGCTTATCAGTCAAGAATGCAGTTCACATTTTGTGGAATAAAAATAAAATATTTCTAGAAAAAAAAGACGTTAGTATAAATATAAATATTATTGTCAAAATATTGGTTAGCAACTATTAAAATATTTCTAATAATAATATGTAACCAAAAGTTGAACGGATTTAATTGATAAATAAATTACGATTATCTGAAAATATTTTGAATATAATAATTATTCATTCTGTTTCACTATTTATATAGGTTTTTGAGTATTTTTAAATGTATGCACAAAATTAATTTAGGGTTCCAAAGGATCTCAATTGCATAAAAAATGGCATTAACGGAGTTAGAGATTCAGGATTTTTTTAATCAAGAATCGGAAATAAAAAATTGAAAATATTATTTAACTAGTTTAGTAAGATATAAAAAATAAAAAGTATTATCAAATTAAAGTACATTTAAAAAAAACAGTGATTGATTAATGACTAAAATAAAAATTAACCTAGTCAATCTTTTTTCATCTGGCAGAACCTTTCTTCTCTTATCTTTTCTTATCACATAATCCATTGTAACTCATTTATAATTTTTGTGATCCTTTTATGCTTCTTGTAATTAAGTTCCACGGTGCTTACAACATACAATAATAGCAACAAAGTATTTTGTAGTACAATATTTACCTTCATAATAATAATTAATCTAGAATTTTTAAAATTTTCTATTTTAAAATAAGGAAACTCTTGACTTATTTATACAAAACTTATAATTTTGACTGTGCTCAATTACCATATCAGGATTAGTTGTTGTTGTCCCCGTATCGTTCCATCGACACTTGAATCTAGTAGATAGGTCAAGCAGTCAGATTTATAATCCAGATCCATCTGTCTGTACAGATGCTTAAGTGTTACCCACCACTACCATCAGGATTTCAAAAAAGTCGCCTTTCTAAGAAACAACAACATTATATATTGATGTGTTATAATCACAGAAAAACGCTTTCTTTATCTTTTCATTTCGATTAATTAGTAATAATAAATATCTATTTGTAATTATTTCTAATCAGTAAATTATTATTTATTAGATTTTTTTAATTCACATTTGCAATTCTATAACATTTGCGATTTTATATACTTCAAATCGTTTTGAAATACATTTTGTACAATAACAGATTTAAATAAAATTTTTTAAATTTATTTTTTTTCTATAACAGATTGATTGATTAAAAATATTTGAATATTAATCAATTATTACTTAATTACAGACTGAACAGATACGCCGCGCCAATCGCCTATTTGCCTCCGATAGTTTATTTTTACGTCAGTATTTATTAGTGCCGGTTGAGAAAACATCACCATATTATCCAAAACCAGATGAAAATAACATCACACACACAACAGCAACTACTCCAGCTGAAATAGAAAATAACACAGCCAATAACATCACAGATGCAACGAACAATCCACGTCCAAATGCTTTACCCGCGCGTCCATATTCAATAGCTGGGGAATTGCTTATACAAAACAGTGATGATGATGCAGCACTGAATAATCACAATGGTACTACTGGTGGCAGCAAACAGAGTAAATCATTAGATTCTGTAGCAGCAATGACACCTGATGAAGAGAATCGAAAATGTATAAATGATTTTTTAAATAAAATTGATACAACCATATCGGAATCAAGAAAATATGTTGAGAAATCGAAAGAGTAAGTGAAAAAAGTCTATAAATAAATTTAATAATTATTAAATGTTAATTATTTGTGACCAAACAATTTTAATAGTGTTTTTGTTGTTGTTAAAAATATAAATAAAAATTAAGAAAAAAATCACAATTTAATTTTGCAAATATTTTTATTTTTTTCGATATTTCGACTTTAGTCTAAAGTCATCATCAGAAAATTATTTAAATTTAAATTAATGTTTATATAATAAATTATATACACTTTTTAAATAATATGTAATTTATCTATTTAAGATATACATAACAAATAATAAATTGTAAATTAATATTAAAAACAATTATTTTTTCAGAATGATAACAAGTCAAAGCGACAATGACCTGTTTGTAACCACCGATTTTGTGGAGCGTAGACGCAATAATAACTTAAATAATTCATATAAAAATGATCGACAGAATCATCAAAACCATCAACGTCACAGTTCAACTGGCAGCACCTCAGATACGGCGCAATTGCTGAATACCACGCAAATGAGACGTGTACAGAATTCACTTAAACGACTGGAAAAACAACAGGATGAATTCTTTGAATTGTAGCATAAGGCAATGAACGTTACTTATTATGATTTTATAAGAACTAAATATTTTAATACACATTACAAATACAAAGTAAAAATATGCTAAAAACAAAATAAGTGTAAACACTAAACAACACACTCATTGTTTTTAGTTGCAAATCACATAAAATTTGCCTTTAAGAATTATTTATATATTATATACCATTTAGTTTCTAAACTACTGGCAACTGTGTTATTTTGTTAAAATTTACACTTAAAAAAATGAGACAATTTCCAAAAATTTTTCAAAATTCAATTGTACTTTTAAATATTATAATAATAATAAATTTAATTTATTTTTTTTTTGTCTAAAAATAAATAATGCAATTAATTGCATTATTAGTAAGACTTAAGCAATTTGTTTAATAAAATATAATTTTAGTTGCCCAAAGTTTAATTTGTTTTTTGCCAATAAATTAACAACCGAGCCAGTTTTATGCTTT